TTCTCAGTAGACTCAGACCCATCAACTGGTACCATTAGCATGTTTGGGCTGCTGTCATCCTCTTCGCCTTCTAGGGTCCTCTTTTTGCAGTTTTTACATAAAAATATTACTGGCTCTGCTTCTAGTACCTCATCATCTTGAGGAAAAGTCTGCACACCAGCATCAACTTTACAAACTGCAAAGCTTGGCTTTGAATCAGCAGGTTTTAATGAGAACCGGAATAATGACCGCCTCAATGCTGAGCTTTGGCGGTGACTATCAATAATCTCAAGACCACGATGGAGGCTAGCTGCCAAATCTTCAGTTGGTGCCACAAAACTAGTACTCTTTCTGGTTGAGAAAGTATTAGAAGAAATGCATTTTTTGGAATTTACGAGAGAGTTGCACATGGTCTCTGGGCATAACTTCTCATCCTTAAGACCTTTCTGCGAAGCAGTTAACATTGATGATGTTCTCAGACTTTTCCTGCTCTGGTTGATTCTTGGTGAGATGCTTGGTGTTGGAGATTTAAGAATGGGGGACACGTCAGAGGTGTTCTCAGAATTATTGCATGCATTTGCAGTGGAGTTATGTTCAGACACTTCACAAAGTGGATCCAGGATAGGGTGTGGTGATCCATTTCCAATATTTTTGCATGGTGATTCTTCCATTACCAATTCACTGACAGCTGGAGTGAAAGTTTCCTTCTCCTCAGAGTGCTGTCCAGAGGAACCACCATCAAAATTTTCAACAATTTGGCAAACTGGGTTTTCGTTGACATTTTCAGGTTTGGGATTATTAGCAAGCACATTTGGGTTTTCTATTTCATGTTCTGCATGATCAATGATCATGATCTCAGAGTTCTTAGGTTGTTCAGATGTTTCTTCCTCCATGTTCACATCAGTATCTGATTCAGTAGTCTCTACTTTGCACATATCGTTTGTGTTCTGATCTATTCCAGCTGATTGAAGACCTACTTGAACACAGAGCTTCTCAACAGCATCCTCATCTATTTCCATCTCCTCATCACCATCTTCATCAAGCTGTGATAGTGTACTTGGATGATTGAGGCTAAGTTTTAATAAACTCAGACTTCTACGGGCATTCCACCCAGTTGAGTAACCTCCATCTGGATTGGCTGCATTGTTATTTGCCTTCATTCGATAGAGCTCATCCTGCACAGTTAATCCACAAGTGTTATGTTATCCCATTAGATTGAATTGACAACTAAAACACAATGTCATAACTAGTTAAGGATGATATACCCTCAGCTGTCGTATAACTTCACGCAAAAAATTCACATCATCCTGCATCACTTCATTGACAATAGCCTTATTCTTGATTGCCTTTGCACGCTGTGCAAATCTTAGCGTGCTAAATGTTTCACTCTTGCAGCTGTATCATTTACTCACATGAAACTCCATTTAGAAGAGACAAATATATTTTTCAAAAAGAAAAAGAAATTAGGGCCAAACTATTACCGTTCTGCAGGAGAAATAGCACAGACCATAGCCAATTTTGCATTGCCACCAAGAGATTCCTGCAATAAAAATGTCAACCTAGAGTCTCTATACGGGATATGCCTCTGCTTTCCCGTTTGTGAAACTTCAGCGAGAATCTTTATCAAGTTACTGCAACACCAACAATTTAAGCACAATTAGAAGAGTAATAGTGTAGTATGTCTACCCCAATAAATGCATGAAAACAAATTGAAAGAACAAATAAGCAAGAAAAGATTATGGAATTGAATCTTAACAATCAGTTTCTAAAACTGTAATGTAGTTTTTACTTATATCAAAAAACAGCACTATTAAGAAAACACAACATTGTCATTTTATAAATCAAATTTCTTTTTTCTTTTTTGATTGGATGGCCAATTGTGTTATAGAATATAAGCTAAAATCAGTTCTATATAACAGTTGTATAAGCATTTTCTTGGTAATGTTGAGTTGATTCTTTGTCAAATTTACAATTTGTGCTAAAACTCTGACTTTCATGTTGTTTCTGGTTATTGCATCTCAGGAATAGCATACCAGCCCTTGTGTCCTAACTTCAAAGCAAAGAGAATACTCAATGGAAGCAAAGGTTTAGACACTAAAGACATGTAAAGATGAAAATCAGATTTTGAGATCAAAACTAAGATACTTTGCATAAATTTAAACCCTTGAGTACTAAGAATGTGGTTTTTTCATAATTTAGTGAAATCATAATGTTAATAATCAGGAGAGAACTTATGTCCTATCTGAAGGAAAACAAGCAAGTCAAATTTATACCCAAGCTGTGAGAGTGAGCGATTAATATTCCCTGCTTCCTTCAGGCGTTCACCTGCGGCACCAGTTAGTTTTTGCCGTTCTGATCCAGCTAGATCAACCAGATTTATTCGGCTTGTTTTAAAGCTGCTAAAACCATCTGCCATGCTCTGAAAATTAAAAACTTCTTTAGAATCTCTTAAGCATATACAGAAAAAGAAGGAAATTGGATTTTCTGTTTTGCGGATTGTTATGCCACGTCCAGTTTCAGTTTTAAAATGAAAAAAAATTGCTCCAAGGTAGAGATTTGTTCTCTCATGAAAAACAGAAATGACATAGGAAAAGGAAAGAAAAAGACCAGCTCATCCTATGTGTTAGAAATAAATAAATCAAGTGACAAATACATAAATCTTTACCTTACATCGGGATTCAACAATACAAGTAAAAACACAATGTGAACGAGAACTCTCTGCATTTATGGTAGTTGATCCTGTTCTCCTGTTTGACAACCCCTGCATTATTTAATAGAGTATATGTAAGTATAATGCTCAAAATTTATGAATTAAAACCTAGACTAGAAGTCAGTTTGAAATGAAGTTTTAATCAGATTCAACTATAAATAAACAGGAACAAAAGTAATGAGAAAGCATTTATTTATCTCTATTTGGATACCTTTGTCAAGAGCCGGGTCACATCCTTCATTGTACTTACATACTCTTCTATTAAATTTTCAACATACACACCTGACCTTACATCTTCTCTTATCTGTAGGAAAACCCCAATACAGGCATAAGAGAGAGTTTTCTTCACAATTTAGAGGAAACAGTTACGCAAAGATTCAAATATAATTCTTTCTTCTACCTGCAGGTTCTTTTGATTGGGATCCAACAAATCTGTGATTTGTTCATTGTAGATCTGTAAAAGCAAATTTAAGAATCAAGAACTCTATAAATTACAAATATAACAGGTTCAAGTCAGCAGTGTCCAATCAATAACTCAACCTCAAGAAAAGAACATCGACATTGATATTTGAGCTGTTTTCCAGCATGCTTAACTTGTTCCTACAATCAGAATGCCGAAGCTTAGTCATGAAAATGCTTCAATTGTAATTGAAACTCCAGTTCAATCATAAATTAGATCAAAGCATTACCTCATTTATGCGAGCAAAAAGTTGCTCAAAAACTCGGGGGGTTAAGCCCTGTTGATCACTTGATAGGTTTTCTTCCAACAAGGCGTTGGCTGGACCCCACATAGTGTAAGTCTTTCCACTCCCCGTCTAGTGAAATCGATATTCAGCAGTAAATGTTTATGTATTAGCATCATCGTATTAAGTGACAGAATGCAAATGTTGAAAGAAAAAAAGAAATATAAGCAACTCAGAAATAAGAGTACCTGTCCATAGGCAAAGACAGAGCTATTAAATCCAGCCAGGCAGTTTTCAACGAGAGGGGCCCCTACAAGCTGGAATATATCAAGCTGCAGAAAAAGAAAGCAAATTGTGGGAATTTCAAATTAATAATCATGACAAATAACATGCAGGAACATCACATTGATAGAAGTCATGCCTGAGTTGCATCTGTGTCAGCAACTGCATCGAACGTGAAGTCCTGCCCATTAATAGTCACAGCATCATTTGAAAGTTTCTGAACTATAATCTCCCCATCTTCCTCTTCTTTGTTCAGTGGTCGCATCCGTACTATCACCTAGAAATTTTAAAGCAAAAGCAGTGGGTTATGATGCCATTTTAGGCTGGTCAAAATGCATTGAAAATCATTGAAACGCTCTCGCTCCTATCCAATTACCTGAACTAAAGCAAGAACGAAAATGAAATTTGCTAAAATCATACTACTTTAAGTAAGTTGAAATCCCAACTTATTCCCTCAACAAATCAAATCACCATAATTCACTTTTCTCAGTAACCAAACTCATAACTTTTACTGCAGGGAGTTGCTTGCTAAGTTATGAAATCTCTAGGTATCCAAACCTAACTTAATTAGATGAGGTGAGTTTGATATTTTACAATCACAGAAAAAGTACAAGAGCCATTATTTCGCTTCCTTTCCACCACCAATTTGTCCCGTTTTCCCAAAAACCAAACAAAAAGAAACTCAGAAATTCAAACTCGTTAGAAAAATATGAACAGAGGATCCAAGAAAGCCAAAGAGAAGAAGGTTAAAGAGTACCTTAACACCCGAATCTGAAACTCCAGGAGCGGCATTTTCTGCGAGTGCTTTCTCAGCTAGGCTTTCCAAATTGAGCTTGCGCTTGAGTGGGTTAGAGGAAGGCGGGCGTGGCGGAAGCGGACTCTTCATCTTTATGGCCGGCGACGGCTGGGAGTTCAGATCCGGCGGGGGAGCATTTTCCTTAGAGCATTTCTGCTTTCTCAATGACTTGGATTTAGGGTTTGGTGAAGATGAAAGAGGTGGATCAAGAGTTTCTCTCAAGATAGTGTTTCTTGGATGCATGAAGTGCTTCATCTTCAATGGAAGCACCGAATCCGAGTGAAGTCGAAGGGAGAGTTAGGGTTTGGTCAAGGAAGCGAGAGAGATGGAGCAGAGAGACAAAGAAGAAGAGAGAGAGAAATGTAGCCGTTAGAGGGAAAAAGCTATTTGAATTTGGTTTTTTTTTTTTTATTAATTCCTCACAATTTTAGATGTACGTGAATGTTCGGTTATTTTCGCTTTTAATTTTATTAGTTTTAATATTTGTAATTAATTTTTTTTATAACTTTTTATAAAAGTAGTATACATTAGTATTAGTTTTGATTTCTAGAAATAATTAAAATTTTTAAT